GTTGCCTTATTCTTGATCAGGAATAGACTTGTTCCTTCATATGGCCCTTCATGGGTGGGCTGACCTCACCAGTTTCTCACAAAGAAGAGAATAAACTTGGTGCCAAGCAAGTACTGTAGCACAGCTTGTCCTAATCTAATATGTTGTTGCTGATGGATGAGGCTCTTGACCTTTGTATACCTGCTTTCTCTACAACCGCTGTATCTTCCTGTCTTTGGCATGAACAGAATTCCAGAAAAGCTCAAGGCCACCTTTCAGCAGGCTCGGCTTCTTATGTTTTGCACTGGTTTCATTTTAGTTCAGTTATAATTGATTCAGACTTCAACATCTCATTGGATACAAGAGCCTTGCATTAGCTCTTTTTTCAAGAAATGGGAGGGGGATTGAAGCAACAGAGGGAAGCCTTAAAAGATGAATAGTTTCATAGTGACTTTTAAGAAAAAAAAAGATGCCTAATGACATGGTTAGGATGTCCAGCTGAGAACAGGGTGGAGTGAAGTAATAAACTTGAATCTGAGCAGAGTAATAAAAGTATACAGGAGTGGGAGTGCAATTTAGAGAGGCTTTGACTAGCCTTTGTGAGAGTGTGCTGGATGTTTGTAAATTTTGACAAGTGCTTAGAAATTGACCATAGTAGTCCATGCTCTTGTTACATATTGAATAGACTACTGCAACATGCTCCACATGGTGTTGCCTTTGAAGACTGTTTGGAAGCTTCAAATGGTCCAACGGGTGGCAGCCAAGTTTCCAACTGGAGCGGAGTACAGGGAGCACACAACTCCCACTGGCTGCCAGTCTGCTACCGAGCACAATTCAAAGTGCTGGCTTTAGCCTATAAAGCCCTAAATGGTTCCAGCTTACCTGTCAGAACATATCTCCCTCTATGACCCATCTCGGAGGTTAGGATCGTCTGGAGAAGCCCTGCTCGCGATCCCACCCTCTTCGCAAGTGTGACTGGTGAGGACGAGAGACAGGGCCCTCTCAGTGTCAGCCCCTTTGGCTATGTAACTCCTTTCCCAGAGAAATTAGATCAGCCCCCTTCCTCCTGACTTTCAGGAAGAAAGTTAAATCCTGGTTGTGGGACCAAGCATTTGCACAGTGATTCCCAGTGCAACAATTGATGTCTCAGTGCAATAATGAACAATACAAAGGACAATTCGAATAGCTCCTGGTATATATTTTTGGAATGTGTGATTTTAAATAATTGTTTAATTGATATTTTTAATTGTGTGATTTTAAGTATATGTTAGGAAGCCCCTGGTGGTGCAGTGGGTTAAACTGCTGAGCTGCTGAGCTTGTTGACTGAAAGGTCTCAGGTTCGAATCCAGGGAGTGGCGTGAGTTTCCGCTGTCAGCCCCAGCTTCTGCCAACCTAGCAGTTTGAAAACATTCAAATGTGAGTAGATCAATAAGTACCACTCCGACAGGAAGGTAATGGCGCTCCGTGCAGTCTTGCCGGCCACATGACCTTGGAGGTGTCTACTGACAGTGCCGGCTCTTTATCTTAGAACTGGAGATGAGCACCAACCCCCAGAGTCGGACATGAGTGGACTTAATGTCAGGGGACAACCTTTATCTTGACCCAAGTGTATGTTGTTTTATATTTATATGTATTTAAGGCATCAAATTGTGCCTTTGTTGTGAGCCACCGTGAGTCCCCTTTGGGGTGAGAAGGGTGGGATATAAATGAGGTAATTAAATAAATAAATATGTAACACAAAATTAGTTTTATATTCCAAGTCCCCGATAGTTTGCTATTGTAATCGTTACTTTTAAAAAAAAGCAAAAGCAACTTTTTCCTCCATTTCTCAGAAATAACTGACATAATAAATTAAAATTCTGAATCCAAAAGGCACGTGTATGTAGAGGTATACCTTAGTTAATAAAGTGGACATATTCCTGGGTAGCTGAAATTACATGGAAAGGATCCTCCACAAAAACAGAAGAGTATGTCAATGTTTTTCGACACACTGTTTATTCAGAACAAACAATGTGTAGATACACAGATCTGGTCAATACTCTGAGGGAACAAAAACATTCTTAATCTTCTAGAGAATATTTGGCAGTTTCTCCTGAAATCAATTGAGGGGTGGTGTTTTCTGTCACCACTTCCCACATTTCTTATAATTTCCATTTTGGTGACCAAACTTGCAGATTTATACTTAAAAACAAACATGCTAGGACAGGCTTACCTGTTCTCCTTTCTTCTCTCCAGTTTGTTGTTCATGCATGCTCAGGAAGGGATTTTGGAGGCAGCTGCTTGTTGACCTTTTCTGTTATAGGCAGACCCACACAGCCACAGTAAGAATGGCTAAGTGTAGTATCCCACTTTTTCCCATCTCAAGCTTTTATTGCATTGATTGCTGCATAAACAATGTTACTGCCCAGCACCAAATATATGTGTTTCCCCAGGCATTCTTCACCATTCTCCTAATACTGAAGAAACTTCTAGCTATACAGAGTATAAGAAAGTGGGACGCAGTGAGCAAAAAATATTGTATTTCATTGCGTAATAGTTGCCATCACATAATAGTAGTGCCCCCACTTTTGAGGTCCCATTTTGATTTTTAAGAATTCCTTGCGTAATAGTCACACCCTTAGTTCCAGGGGGCAACATCTGCCCAATTGCCTCTTCCCTCCGAGCTTTGGAGGGACAAGTTCACCCTCAGGAGCTTGGAGGGAAGAGGCACAGGGGCAGGCGAGACTTCAGAAGACTCATGACATGGCTAGGATGTTGCACTTCTACCTCACTTACGTTGTAGGTCCCTCAAGGAAGTAGACTGACTACCTTTGTCTTTGGGAGAAGAAGGCTGCTCCCAAAGCTGCTCACTCCTATTCCGATGCTAGGCTTGTGAAGCAGTTCTGAAACAACTGTCCTAGCTAGCCTTCCCAAACTCCTCATCTTGTGTTTATATGAGTTATCCCTCGCAAATAATCTACTTCTATTATCTCATCCTGAGTTTTTAACATTTTATCTTGTACATAAAGCCTGCTCATTGTCATTGTCGCTGTGGATATTGTATTTGTATATTGCTCCTTTTTATTTATATGTGTGTATTTTACTGTGCTATTGTTGATTATTGATTTTAATTTTGTTGTGATTTGTTGTTTGGGCTTGGCCTCATGTGAGCCGCCCTGAGTCCCTGTTGGGGAGATTGTGGCGGGGTATAAATAAAGATGATGATGATGATGATGATGATGATGATCTCCATGATCCTCCTCTCTAGCCAAACATTGGAGAAATATTCTGGCCATGGCCTTATTCTTCCTGCCACTGTGCCTGTCTTCTTACACCGTGGCATAGTCACACAAGCAAAGTGACAAATAGGATTCTGGCAAAACTCTAGCAAAATTCACATAACTACCAACACTAACACCTTCAATAATTTCAGTGGAGTAGTTGAACCATGTGATATTCCAATCTAGTGATTTGGGGGGGGGGGCGTATATTATAACTGAGAAACATTATGATTATATCACAAAAGATCACAAGCTGTCTCTCGTAATTTACAGTTGTTGTTTCATGTCAGAAAACTCAAGAGTGACGAACACAAAGTGTCAAGACATTGATCACACCTCTTTGTGGCATCTTCTTACCATAGGAACAGAAAGTTCAAAGTTTAAGTTTGATAAATACCAAGATTTTAAAAATGCTGCCAGACTGGTCTAGGGAACAGAGGGGAAGGTTTATGAGTCAACCAATCAGCATTGCACATTCCTGGATAAATTCAGTTTTCCCTTAGCTCAGCATGTACAGCTATGCTCCCTGTTAAACTTGCCCCACTCGCTGCCTCTTTTCCTGCCTCACTTTAAGAAATCTTAGGCACAGAAACTTGGTGGTTCATTCACTTGCCATCAAAAACACTGATGAAAGTTATATTTTCTAGCATGATGCGACTCTATAATAGGATAATGCCACATTCAGATCTGTGATTTACTGTTAGATGTGGACTTGGGTTCAAATATCAGTTTATAGCTGTGCAATACCGTTGTGGTATCAGGCTTGTAAAATTTTATAGACTTGTTACATTCATACTAAGCACTTTTACTACAACATTTGGCCATCAGTCATTTTGGATTACTGTTCCCATAATCCCTTGGTGATTGTGGCCATAGTGAGCACAGCTTCTGGGAGAGAATTCCAAAATTCCAGGAGGGCTAATGGTATTCCTTCCATGCTGCATGCAGTTCAAAACATAATACATGGTCTTCCTTCCAATGTTTATCCACACAACAATCCTGTAAGGTAAGTTGGTATGAAAGCATGATTAGCCCAACATCATAGAATGAGTGTCATGGCCAAGTTGGGCTTGAACCTTGACCTCCACAGTTCCAGTCTCTATACCAGTGCTTCTTAAACTTTGTTTCTTTAGATGTTGTTGGGCTTCCAGATCTTTGATCATTTTTGTCGTCCTCCTTTGGACATGTTCCAGCTTGTCAATATGCTTCTTAAATTGTTGTGGACACAGTTTTTCAGATGAGATCTGACTAAAGCGGAATAGAGTGGGACTATGACTTCCTTCAATCTTAACACTATTCTCCAGTTGATACAGCCTAGAATCATATTGGCTTTTTAAGCTCCCTAGTTACACCATTGACCCATGTTTAGCTTATGGTCTACTAAGACTTCTAGACCCCTTTCACACAGACTGTAGTCAAGTATTACCCATCCTATGTCTCTGCATTTCATTTTTTTCCTGCCTACATGTAGTATATTTCTTCCTGTTGAAACTCATTTTGTTAGTTTTGGCCCAGCTCTCTAACCTGTTAAGGTCATTTTGAATTCTCTTCCTGTCCTCTGGGATATTAGCCAGCTCTCCTATTTTGGTGTCATTTGCAAATTTGATAAGCATGCCCTCTGTTGCATCGTCCATGTCTTTCTAGCACCTAACTACTATTGTCTCTTATGTTAACATGCTGTGGATATCAAGAAGTGGTACCAATGTTTGTGTAATGTCTGGCCAGACATCTTCTAATGGATTCCTCCTCTTCTACTTTTAGGTGCATTTGTCATCTGCTGGACCCCTGGACAGGTGGTACTCCTATTGGACGGCCTTGACTGCAAAAGCTGCAATGTGCTAGCAGTGGAAAAGTACTTCTTGCTGCTGGCAGAAATAAATTCGCTTATTAACGCTATTGTCTACTCCTACCGGGACAATGAGATGCGCAGCACCTTTCGGAAGATCCTTTGCTTTGCTTGCCATAGGATGCCAAAGTACTCACCAGCTTCAGTCAAGTCCAGCGCTGCAGAGCATAGGATATTGCCTCAGAACGGACATTCGATGATGGATTCCTCTCTCTAACTCTACAAGTTCAGGCTCCTCTAGACTGGTCATTGGAAGCCATTCTCAACTATCTGTCTGTCTGAAACTGGAGCTGCATGGAGTGGTTTCCAAGTGGCTTTAGCCTTGACTGGGAATATTGTTGCAACTGGTGGTGATTTTACCTGTGGATTTGGTCAGTGCCTGAAAGCAACTGCCTTCACCTGTAGTGCCATGTTGTGACTGCGTGTTGCCTCCTGACTGAGGCTTTTGTATTGGGACTGATGGTAAATAACCATGTTTTCGGGACATAGTGACTCTTCACAGGCTGCACAGCAAAAGAATGAAAATGTTTGTTTTGTGTCACAGCTTCAGAGGCACCTTAAACATTTGGTTGGGTACTAAGGACCTGTTCAAAACTGGTTTGCATCACAGCTTTTACAGGACTTGTCTTTTTATCTTCTTCCATCCCATCCATGGGGTGGTATGCCAGTATTTCTCTTTTCTGTTTATGGCCCACAGGTGGACCTTAGGACAAATTTCTTTTGCCTTGTTCATAAAACACACACTTGGACAAACTTTTGAAAAGTGGTGGGACAAAAACATTGAGGTACATGCATCACCCTTGTGCTTGTGAACCGCTGTTTTTAATGCTGTTTTTCATCTTGAGGGGTGTCAGTGTCTGCCAAGCCAAAGCAATGCATCTAAATATTTCTCTGCAGGCTGAAAAATGTTTATGTTAGCCCTTTTCAGTATTATTGCCGAGCCATCCCAGGGTTAAGATATCAATTCTGCATTCTGTGGTCTGCATACACTCCTTGAGTATCTGTTACAACCTGAACTGGCTCTTTTCTTGAACTGTATCAATCCCATGAATCTGGCACAAGGAGAATCTAGATTAAGTTTCCAGATTGATAGCTATACTCTTGCCATGACAAATACTAGCTTCAGTCAGCCGTCCATACTGATGTGGTAGAGACACTGCAACAAGCAAAGGCAAGAACTGAGCATATAAAGAGGAAGGTTTCTCCCCTTGTTTTATTTGGTACTCAGTTGTGATTTTAATCCAAGCCCATTCTAGGCTTACCTTTCCAGCTGTCTTCTGCCCAAATTCCCAGCTCCTTTGTGGTACAAAGAAATTACCCTTGTATGCTTGAAGCAGAAGCACAGTGCCCATGTAGGTCAAAGGTGAGGGTATGTGGCCCTCTCCATGTCACTGGATTTCAGGTCTCATGATTCCTCACCCTGGGACCTAAGGCAGTGGTTCTCAATTTGTGAGTCCCCAGATGTTTTGGCCTTCCCAGGAATCCTGACAGCTGGTAAACTGGCTGGGATTTCTGGGAGTTGTAGGCCAAAACACCAGGGGACCCACAGATTGAGAACCACTGGACTAAGGGAAGTTATAGACCAACAGGATTATGCCAAGGTGACATGTTGCTTGGGAATCTCCCAGTAACATGGGAGGTGGATTTGCAGTTATGCGGTGCACATGTGAAAGGCAGTGGAGGATGCAGCAGGCAAAATGTTTCCGTTGACAGGGAGATGCTCTGCTCAAAGGCAGTCTCGTTGTTTGACTTTTCTTCCCATTGCACAGAGGCACCATGCTGTTCATAAGCTGGAAACCCTATTAAAGACTTGGTCATCTGAATCAAATAATAAATATACAGCGATCTCAATCCAATAGAATTTGGAAGAAACCATGTTTCACTACAGCTGCCTACATTTCACCATATATGATCACTATATCCAACTTTTGGCCCTCTGGATGTTGTTGGACTAACTCTTATCATCCCTTGCCACTTGCTGTACTTGGATTGACTGAAGTACTTGTGCAGCTACAACTGGAAGATCAGACTTTGTTCACCCAAAACTAGAATTGCTCTACTTTCACCTATGTATTTGTTCTGGAAATTGTCATTTTTAAAAAATACAAAGGATAAAACCATGTTTTAGCATCATATAAAAGTTATTGGAGAGACATAGTTATCCTGAAGTGTTCAGGAAGGAGAAAACATCATTGTTCAATTCTAAAACATGAGAAGGTACGTATTTTGGACTATACAAGCCAATCTCTTAATAGTCGAGGTGGTTACAATGAATGGATGCTACAATTCCATAATATCTGGAAGGCTACATTTTGCCCACATCTCACCAGGTAGGCAAAGTGCAATCTGTGGATATGGGAGTACAAGGTACAGCCATCTAAGCTCCCAGGAAGCCCATATTTTTTTATAATTTTTTTTTATAAATTGAACCAATTGTCAGTTGATTTTTTTTTTGCCTGAAAATTAGCTAAAAGCTCCCAGAAAGTACAGGCAAAATGAAACAAATGAGTCAAAGTGGCAACTAGAATCACTGTTGGGTCACCTCAGCTGCCCCAAAATGTACTAGTACAGTCCACCAGACAGGAATGGTGAGTAAAAATGACTCATGCCATGTTGTCCACCTCTGCTGTGTACTGACCCTAGCTGTCCCCCTCTTTGCCTGGGAGGTTCATTTCACTTCTGAAGCCACCATGATAGATGCTGCTGCCTCGCTCCACACTCAAGCATGTGACTTTTTATTCTTGGCATAAGCAAGGCAGTCACACGACATCTATGCTCCTAAGGCACAGCAAGAAATACTGTAGTGTCCTAATGCCATCCCTAAAGCCAAGATACCACGTTCCCTAACTAGATCTCTCCTTCCACTGTATCCCTTAGGTCACATTGGTTGCTGCATATAGTTTGCACTGAGTTAACTTAGCAGGAGTGAGAAAGGTAGAATCTTGTCCTTCCCAGTGGTTCAGACAAAAGCAAACCGATGTAGCCTCTCCTAGCTTGTCTATTCTTCCTCATTAATAACCTTACTATGTTGTCCACACTCTGTTGTTGCTTGGCTGCACAAGCCCTAGTTTTCATCTGTGACATGCTGGGAGTATACGATACACATACACACCTCTTACAAGTGATTTTCCCTTGCCCTGGCATTCAAACCACAATCTTTCATTAAATAACTAATAGTTTCACCCAGCTGCCCCACTGTGCTGGGTATTAAGGCTGACTGTAGATATTAATGCCTTAATAACTCGTGTCTGGGAAGTGAGTGATGCTGGTTTCACTGTGGAATAGACGACCAGGCAGAGCTTTGTGAAGCAGAGGAATGTTGAATGGAGTTATGAGCGAATCATGAATGAATATATATATATACATACATACACCTCTGCTCTTGTGTCTTTAAAGGCAGCACAGTCTTCAAGCATCACTTGGTATTACTTTACATGGCCCACAGAGACTGTTTCTCCCTGATAAACTCTCCAGTTGCGGTTCTCAACCTGTGGGTCTCCAGTAGGCTTGGGCAATCCATGGTTCTAAATGGTTCTAAAGTACTTACAAAACTAAAGTTCTGGTGGTGAAAATTTCAGAACTCTAACAAAACTTTCAAAATTTAATTATTTTTTCCCAGCTCCAGCAGACCTCACCTCTGAGGATACTTGCCATAGATGTAGGCGAAATGTCACGAGAAATGCCTCTAGAACATGGCCATATAGCCCGAAAAAACCCACAAGAACTGAGTATTATTTCATTATTGGTGATTTTAATGACAGAACCAATTAGGAACTGCCATTTATTATGAAATTTTGAGAGTTTTGATAGAGTTCTGAAATTTTCACCACCAGAACTTTAATTTTGTAAGTACTTTAGAACAATTTAGAACCATGGATTGCCCAAGCCTAGTCTCCAGGCGTTTTGGCCTACAACTCCCAGAATTCCCACCCAGCTTCCCCTTCCCTAATGATTTTCTAGCACCTGAACAAAAGCTTTCACTTGCAGTCTTGGAAAGGATGCAAAAACTCTATATTAGGGCCCTTCCAGACAAGCCCTATATTCCAAGATCTGATCCCAGGTTTTCTGCTTTAAACTGGATTATATGAGTCCACACTACTAGATAATCTGGGATAAACAGAAAACCTGAGATCAGATCCTGGGATATAGGGCCTGTCTGGAAGGGCCCTTAGTTGGTTTGCCTTTTTGCCTGAGCTCTGTTCCTGTCCACTCACCAACAGAAATACAGTTGCTAAAGCTTTACTCATTGGCTAGCTTGATGTCTGGCTCAGATGTTCATTTAAAAAATAAAAACCAACAACTGAAATGCTGGGCTATTAAAAAACAAACAGAAGTACACTTGAAGATACCTAGCATCAAATGTACACCTCGGATGGGTGACCCTTGCTGCAACTGGAGTAAATGCTTCAAAGCACATTGCAGCTGGAGCCTCATGCCATCTGTGTATGTACACACACTCTCCCACACTTGCACTATGAAAGAAGGGAGATACAGCTCTCTCTTCCCTCTCCTCTGCAGATGGGCAGTGATCAGCACGAGGCCCCTTCCACACAGCTGTATAAAATCCACATTGAAGTGGATTATATGGCAGTGTAGAATCAGATAACCCAGTTCAACACAGATTTTGTGAATTATCTGCCTTGATGTCTGGGTTGTATGGCTGTGTGAAAGGGCCCAGAGTTAATGAGTGCGTAGCATCTGATCTGATCTAAAAGTGCTGGGTTTTCTCTGCCCAGTAATACAAGTAGGATATTATCTGCATTAGGGAATTCTCCCAAAAGTAGCAGAGCGTCCAAAAACTACAAACAGGATACTTAACTGAGCAGTCAGCTCGCAGCAAACTGAAGGTGAAGTGTGACTGTAAAAGAATTCTTGAGCTTAGGAGGCAAAAATGCAGAGTTCAGTCTTCAAAGTTTCAAAAAGGTTTATTCAAAAATATAAGGAACTAAATTTCTTGAGAGAAAAGAATTGGGTCTAAGCTTCTCTCTAACTTCATTACTTCTAAGGCTCAAACAAAAGGAAAAACCTCCAAACTCTACAGCGTAGAGAGAGGTCTACATGCACAGATGGAAAATGAAGTAAAATATGAGATTTCAGTTAGATTGGGAGGAGAACAAATACATGCATTAACAGACATTCAGGAGCCTTGGGGGGCGGGGGCCTCAGCCTAGCCTAAAGCTAACTAACTGCTCAACTGCTCCTTAGGACTGCAGGCTTGAGCAGTGCGAGATTGACTTCTAACAATCTGGACATACCAACCCAACTTCCACTAATGGGGCTGGGGGATCTGAACATGAGCTGGAAGCATTCTGGGAGATGGGCAAGCCTGTCTCCAGAATATTTGGGGCTTCAGTTCCAAGGTGCCCCAGCCAGCATAACCAGTCATAAGGTGACTGCAGCAGCTGAAGTACAGTATGTTCAGATGGGTCACTAAGCTTGTGCATTTTGGCTGAACCTCGGTCTGTTTCTGCTGGCCGGATTCCGGTAGAACCCCCCCCCCCCCCTGTATTTGTTTCCGCACGCTTCCCAAAAATGGGCAGGTAGCTGGATAGCCATTTTCAGTCTGCTGCCGAAAAATACGGCTAGACCCAGCCCATTGGTGGCAATAGAGAACTTACGAGTCTCCTCTTTCTGTTTCTGGATTTCCGCAACAAAGTTAAGGAAGCAGACAGCTTGCGTAAGGCACATCATCTTTTCATGCTGCATGATACCAAATAGGGGAGGAGGAGCCATGATTGGCTGCCATGTGGTTCCATAACAGATGGAAAAATATGATGACTGGGCCCTTGCCGTTATGGCCATCTGACCAAACCGAACAAGCTGGATTAGCTGAAAGGAACTGACCACTCCGAATCCGTGCACAAGCCTTTTTCTTGTGCACCATGGTAGAAGAAAAAGGGATAGCAGAGAAAGGCTGCCTTCTGGACTCAAACCAGGATAGCATACCAGGCCTTCAACCACGTAACAGGTAATGTGGGGTGCTTCCCAGCATTGCCTCCACTCCACCGTAATCAACCTCCTTTTGCATTTATTTTATGCGCAATCCCTAGGACACTTCTTATTAGCTTAATTACCTTTATAGCCACTTCATGCAAATGAGTCATACTTTCTCTAAGCAAAGAGCCCTTGAGGACTTGGGTTCTTGCCAGTCTCTGGAGGCACTGGCCTTGTTTCATCAAATGCATGAAGAGAAGAAGCTGACTTACACAAAATCAAACTGTTTTTCCAAAGCAATGTGGACTTTGAAATAAAGCTACACAACATGGCATTCTCCATTGGTCAAATTCAGATCCCTCTCCCGCCTTGAGACCCTAACACTTCCACTTAGAACTAGGGAAGAGAGTTGCTGGCAGTCAGGGTTGGGAGCACCTTCTTATATTCCTGTTATTTTTTAAAACAGCTAGTGGGGAGTATTGAAATTAAAGGACAAGCGATAGCTTGCATTGACACTGCTTTAGTTGGAGTTTTTAACCATCTTAATTCATTTCAAATGATAAATTTGAAGGTTAAAGATTTTGGCTAGATTTCTCCATCGTGCATAGGCTACCAAACTACTTAGCTACATAACAGAGGCACAAAGAAAAACTCTTAGTGAATTGAGAAAGTATGTGTGGGCACACTGGCAAGATAAACATCAAGATCAGTTCATACATCAGTTCACATCAGTTCATACATAGTAAAGTCACAGCACCCCTGTGCTGAATAAAGCAAAGGTAAAGCTTTGTCCTCGACATTAAGTTTAGTCGAGTTCGACCATAGGGGATGGTGCTCATCTCCATTTCTAAGCCGAAGAGCCGGCGTCCTTAGACACCTCCTAGGTCATGTGGCCGGCATGACTGCATGGAGATCCGTTACTTTCCTGCCGGTGCTGTACCTATTGATCTACTCACATTTGCATGTTTCAAACTGCTAGGTTGGCAGAAGCTGGGGCTAACAGCGGGAACTCTCCCCATTCAACAGTTTTGAACTGCCTACCTGATCAGCAAGTCCTGCAGCTTAGCGGAATACAGATGTAAAATTGCTCAGTTCTGTTTTCTGCATATGTATGCCCATTTACATAGACCTCTATAAGATCCTGGCCCACATTTGCCTCTTAAATTCTATTAGTTTCTAATCAAAGAGAGATCTCTCACTTTAGCAGCTTGCTTATTTC